CTTTAGACGTGGTCTGACCACTCCACTTTCAGAAAACTTCGCGAACAAAGTCAGAATCTTGCCTCACCAAAAGGTCATACGTTGCAACCCTCTAGGCATTTTGTAAGGGCCAACGATAACTGCAATTTGTATACATATTCTTCGAAGAAGATCGATTCGTGAGCGGTATGCGCTTCCATTTGTAGTGACAACTACTTCTGCCTGAAAACAAAGTAGCCTTTCCAGTCCATATGCGAATAAACGTAGACAGAGTAGGCAGCTACATAATTGTGGGCCAACCATTTTCTGACCGTATCTGTTTCACATGATTCTAGTAAACCATTTCATAATAAAAGCCTTGTTCGCGCGAAAGTCCTTCGCTTTTCACTTTCTCTGTCTTTCGTACGAAAACATATGAAGTGATTCATACAACTATTTAACATTTTGATAGAGACAAGTCAGCTTACCTTTTATCCTATGTACCTGAGGCTTTTTCCTGTAATTTTGCACAACAACGGTCAGTTCGGTGTTAGCGGAACTGCCCGAGTTAAGTCAACGTATACCTTGACGTAGTTTCAGTTGTTTCTGTCAACCTTTCGCAATTACGCATGCAAACTGTTCAAACTTTTAGAATCCCATATGTCCTCGAAGAGACGATTCCCATATAAGTAATCTTACCCTTAGCTGAAAGTGTTTGCCCGAAATTTTTGAAATATCATTATGTGCTCTGCATTTTTTTGCATCTCGCTAAAAAGTTTGTCTGACTAGGCAATGGTGATTAAATGGTATGCACTTTTATCGTTGATTTTGACTGTCTGTATAAATTCAGATATATTTTATAGAAGACATGCGCGAAAATATGCTTTTTTGTACCCGTTTGGTAGCAAATTCCACCTTCTTTAGATTTTATACTTAACGAAAATCTTTGAAAAGTTTCTAAATTAGCGAATAATTTTGACATTTACCGAGCGCTACATCTGATTTCAAGGTTTAAAATCTGCGCGCTATGTGCATCCTGTTTAAGGAAAAATACTTTTTTGCCTACGGTTTAAGGAAGAAGTCACATAGTTCTCATAAAATACTGCAGCAGATATGGAACATGCTGTATACATTATAGGCAGCATTAATAAATTGACGGAGAAAATGTATTATGAAGGAAGACTTCACAGTCGCAAAAAATCTCGTGATTATAATTTTTTATACTACTGAAAGACAACCTTTATTTAAATACAAAATTTAAAGAAGGCGTAGTTTCCTACAAAACGGGTACAGGAAAAATATATTGCATGTTTTTTTAATATATTTCAATTTATATGGACAGTCAAAATCAATGATAAATATGCATACTATTTAAGTAGCCATTTTTGTGAATCTATATTTTATTAGTGTTTATAAAGAAGCTAATTACAGAGCCGGCATCCAGGCGTGACTGAAAAGACTTGAGATTAGACTGTACGATAATCAGCATTGCAACCCTACTTGATGTTGGTTTGCTATTGATTACCAGTCTTTCGAAAATTGGGGCATTTTGCTTGCAGCACTCGTCGTACTGTAGTAGTACTAGGTTCGTATGAGTAACAGATAGACCTCTTGTTGGACAGGAAAATAAGTGCCCTTCTGAAATTTAGTACAAGACCACCTATAATTTGAGGGTATCGTGTCCCATTGCCTATCCTTAAACTTACTGAAATTTAGCCCAAGGTAACCTGTGATACGGAGACACTAATTTCCGTGTCCTAAGAAAGTATTCAGACCCCTTCTGAAATACCATATCATTTTCCTTAGCCAGGCTAGAACTTCGTCCCACTAGAATCAAGAACTGCACCTCAAACCTCAAACCAAATGCCCTGTTGTGTAACAGGAGATACATTTAACTAGAAACTCTAAATGGATGATAACTGTTTCTGTCCTGTGTCACGGTTATTCCAATTTCTTTAGAAGTCGTAACTCAATTAAAACTGACAGTTTGTCGTAGAAGGTTGAATAGATAGTTGTGTATACATCTAACGGTTTCGGCATAGAAAAACTAGAGAGACGAACGCAAAAAGCTATAAACATGATATAACACTATCAGTGAACGACTGTTTTCAGTAAATTATATACTCGCTGACAGGTTAAGGCAGTATGTGCTATAACTTAGGGTGTTTACCTTCTTAGGATAGTCGGTTTTTCGTGGGGTGCGACGGTTAAGTGTATTTGATTTAAAATTAATCAACTTTGCAAACTGCACTCCTAATCAACCCACCATCAAAGGCTGCAACAATATTTTTTCAAAGGAAAGCTATTTTGTCCTCTGCATAATCTTAGAACAGTCAGGAGGCTGAGGAAACCTGTTTTTTGTAGGTCTCAATGTTCCTAAACATTCTCCAGTCGAGATCGAAAAAGCATTATAAGAGCGGTAATCGAGACTGCAAGCCACCTGCATCTTGTTGATGCCGACCAAAATAGCAGTTCACACGACCTTTGGTAGAGAGTGCAAAGCTCTGAGAGGTGGCGAGACCGATCTTCGCCGAAGTACCTGTACCTGTACGCCGATCAATAGCTGTCACTTGCAGGCGCGTGTATGCGCTCAGGTGCAAAATATGTGATGATTCCGTACGCGCGATAGCAACTGGCAGAACTCAGCAGCGTCTTGATAGAGAACTGCACAGCCGAAAAATCGACCTCAAGCACAGAAGCCTTTGTATGTGCAGCGAGAAAACAAGCGTATTGGTTGAAAAACCGCTCTTATTTCAGTACGTCGACACAGTGACATTGAGAATCACCCGAGTGGGGCTATTTTAAGCTTCACGCAAATCGAAAAACCCCGTATCTGCAGAGCGGGCAGGGGTGACATCAAAAGTGTGTGAGTTCTAAAACCCGGTGAGGGCGTTGAGCTCGTAAGCCGTGTGCCTAGATGGGTTAGAGCACTGTGTGTGTTAGAGTTAACGCTGTGAGAGGGCAGTGATTTTAGCGTTTAAAACATACGATTGCCTCCCATATCGAGATTGCGAATCCGGCTGGGATTAGATAGGTGACTCTTCAAATACTTTACGTCGCCATCACTCAGGCCGCAATCTACTATGGCTAGGGTACAGTTGCATTGAACCGACTGAGTTTCTTCTAGGACAGTCCAAATTGACTAAAACGTGTACGGCAGAAAACACAAGGAGATGATCACAGGGGGAAGATAAACA